CAACTTATGAATCGCAGCTTTACCATACTAGGTAGCAGAATGTATTCACCAAATTTGAAGGACGTAGCTGCGGCTAGAAGACGCTCAGTTAATTTTTAATTTTCCATACATTTGTCTAAGAAAAAATTTCCCGCGAAGCGCGTCTACCCAGCCAAATTTACAGACAAATGTATAGAAAATCACAAAAATAAAATGAGCGTCTTCTAGCCAAGCTAAATCCTTCAAACTTGGTGAATACAATCTTCTGCCTACATATTACTTTAACGTTGCGATTCACAAATTGTATAAAATTCCATTTTTGAAAGAAGTTATTTGCCATCGGTTTCCCATGCAAACACTGTATTTTCCTACCCGTCAAGATGGCATCGAAAACCGTAATTAGGCCTATTTGTTTGATGCCATTATTTTAATATCAACTGATATCAAAAGAGAGTGGTTGTATGGGAACCAATCAAAAAGTCGCTGAAAAATACTAAAAACTGTCGTGACCCAACTTATGTTATATTAGTGTATTAAATGTACTAAACCTTCCATTTTAAATACCCGACACGCAAAGTCTATAATATGGGAACCTTTTTTTTTAAAGCAACGCCTAAAAAACTAACTTCAATAAACATTCTGAATAAAAAGAAAAACTGGAACTGACACGACTTCGATGTGTTTGTTACTAAAATTAGTATATCGATGAACTGAATGGCTCTCGCCGTCACTTCATCAGTTCCTTCTCACTGTACAATAATGTATCCCATGGCTCTGATGTGTCTGATGCCATTATCTGGTGAGCGCGTTGCTTCATTACCACAGGTGTTGGAGTTATCGTATTTCCCTCCTGTACCAAACCCGATTCTGGAATCAGAGGATAGGCAGTCATTTTGTTGGTTACTAATGATGCCGATTCTTGCTTTCGAATTGTATTCAGAAGAACCTACAGCATTGAACCCTTCCTTGTTACAGTTGAACTGCAATGAGGCCTGAGGACCAATCAGCTTCTTCCAGGTGTTACGGCCCACTGTAGTGGCGCGGTACTGCCCGTCAGCGATAAGTGAATACAGAGAGGTGGCCTCCCTGGTAATGACAATGAAGTTGATCTGTTGGCCGATCTTCATACCAAGACATATCTTGTAAAATGATGTGTTCCAGTAGGTCGGTAGCTTGGTCTCTTGTGTGTCAAACCCAGTCTTCCCTCCAGGAAGGTTGAATTCATTTTTATCGCTCCAGTACGACGAGTTATAATGCAAAGTTGTCTAAGAAAAAAAGTTAAAAAAAAAATAATAAATTAACCCTCAGAGTTATCCACCACTGAAATATTAGACCTTTCTGGTTTCCAGTTTTTCCTGTTCTTCAATATGTAGTATTAACTAACATTATTGTTCAAAAACTCGTCACAATGTCAATATATCAGACCGTCCTTGCTATCTGTGATCTTTACATAATGTTTCTTTTATGATCTACGGTGTCAAAAATTATTTGGAATCGTTCTCAAGAAGACTCATCCGAGTTAGCGACGAAAATATCATTCGTCGACGGTCTGTTGAGCAATAATGTAGTTGTAAACAGCCCCTCAAATGAAAAACGTCTGCATACGAGCCAAGTGGCCCATCAGGCCGGCGCTTATCTCCGATTTCGACCAGGAAGCGACTAGGAATATTTCTACTCCAACCCCCCTCCCACTGGATGGGATGCTAGTCTATCGTAGGGTTACCCCCAGCATAAAGTTCGCCGGTACCTGCTCAAATAGCAAAAATAAATTGTAGGTTGATTGACGCTTTCTTCTGCCACTTAAGGTGGCTCAAAATAGTAACATTTCCGTGAGAAGCCTGGGCTCTAACGCGCACTTCAGCGCGAGGCATCACGCGATCACCCGATGGGTCGCGAGATTTAAAGTTTGCAAAACTCACAACAAACATGGCGGCGCGAGGCCTACTTCGTAAAACTTTGTTCCCGCCAAGTTTAGTGAGCTGTTTGCGATATCGCGTAATTTCTACCTTCGAAAATATCCATCCTTCAGGCAATTCAAATGAAAAAGCATTCTTTTAAAGCGCTGTGCTGGAACGTAAACAAAAACTTGTGATCTTGTTGTTGCGATCGATCGCGGCGGCTATCTTAAAAACGGCAGGAAAAAAACTACTCTTCAAGTTTTCTTCATTTTTTTTCTAGCCCAATCTCACCTTCGGGTATTTATGGTACTCTTCTTCCACCGCTTATGCTGCTAACGACAACAGCAAAAAAGAAAACACTATTCGTGGGTATTCACGTTTATTCGAGTGGAATTGCGGGAGCCTACCACCTTCAAGCGTGCGCAAAGTGCGATCTTGCAAAGTCGAGATTTTAATTTGCGCATACAACGCGTGCTAAAAATTCCTTATCCACGAAGCTAATACCGGTGACCCTACTTTTTTAATGCAAAAAATTATTCAACAGCAAAAGCGAAACGCATGTTCGAAATTGTAAGGAAAAAAAAAAAATTGGATGGAATTTTTTGTGAGGGAAGAATTTGCCGATATTCGTAATCATAAAAATGCCAATAGTTAGATGTTAAGAGCAAGTCCAATAACCATGGTAACCACCTGTCTGTCTCTTTTATCGTACAACGCCTTGTAGTGAAAACTACGTAAAGTTGTAAGTGGTTAATATTTACGAGCAGAATAACTGACCGCCTATGATGGAATAGCCTAGACCAATAATGAGCTCATTGGCAGCCAATAGCAGTTAGGATTACTAAACGAAATATTAGATCATTTGTTTAGAGCCTAGCATATATACAGGTGTTTTGTAATTGTTCTTCGGTTACGCGCCCGCTGGTGGGACGCCGGATACCACTATCCCGCATTGGTTATGTTTTTGGTGACATTCATAGATTAAAATGATATCGTTGGACCTAAGTTCTGAGTGCTGTTGATGTCTCTAAAGATAATTCCCTGTAACAGATTCCGGTACTGATCCCTGCAGTAAGAGAGTCTCCCCCGGTTTTTACAGAAGTGCTTTCCCAGGCCAAGAACCTATTATCACACTTTCCAGTCTTAAAATAAAATAAATAAATAAATAAATAAATATACATTTATATAGCGCCATTTTCCACTAATTGTCCATG